AAAATTTTGTTTTAGTACTTTTTTCTTCGCTTTTTTTTTTTTTTTTTTTTTTATTTTGCTCTAAATTTAATATTCAAAAAACTTAACAATCATCAAATTGCTGCAATTCTAAGTCGTCAGGGGGATTAAGGTCCCTCATTGGAAAAAAACAAAAAAAACAAAAATGGGATTTTTAACAACAATGCTATAAATTCCTAAAAAATACAACTCTACAACCCTATTCACCTGTGATTGGTCCAAGAAGGAAAGAAAAAAAAACAAAAAAATAAAAATACATGATTGATCCATATCATTTTGGGAGTCACGAGGTCCAACTTTGGGATCCAAGCATTTTTGGGATTTTTAACAGACATGGCACATCTGTTATTGGGAATGAGGGCAGGTGCTGTCACAACAGATGACATTGTTTAGCTGTATATCAATTTTTTTTTTTCACATTGTGCAATTGATTTCATTTTCCCTTTTTGAAAATTCATTTTCAAACCTAAAACCTTGTTTTTGTAACTAAAATAACCTATTTTATTTTTTGGGGCTATTCTCTCCCTCTCCCCCAAGACATGTTTGCACTTTGTCCCCAATTCTTTGCTGGCCTCTTTTTATTTATAACTTTCTTAGCTCCCTTTTATATATATATATATATATTTCTTGAGTAGTCCAAGTATGATTGAATACTCCCTACAATTGATACAACAAAATTTTTTACCAGTAAGACACTTGTTAGTTCGGAGGTAAAGGATGATCACCCATCCAACGTGTTTTGAAGTTCTTTATTTGTCAAGAATGTCACCTAAATAATGCATATGCTATTATGGAATTATTTAATAAATTTTATGAATTTAGTTATTATTAAATCTATATATGAATCTTGGATTTGTGAAGAAATTTACAAGGAAAATAAAAAAGTGAAAAAATGAAAAATTTGTTTTAGTACTTTTTTCTTCGCTTTTTTTTTTTTTTTCTTTTTTTTACAAATTTAATATTCAAAAAACTTAACAATCATCAAATTGCTGCAATTCTAAGTCGTTAGGGGGATTAAGGTCCCTCATTGGAAAAAAAACAAAAAAAACAAAAATGGAATTTTTAACAACAATGCTACAGACCCCTAAAAAATACAACTCCACAACCCTACTCACCTGTGATTGATCCAAGAAGGAAAGGAAAAAAAAAAAACAAAAAAATAAAAATACATGATTGATCCATATCATTTTGGGGGCTATGGGGTCCCAACTTTGGGTCCAAGCATTTTTGGGATTTTTAACAGACATGGCCACATCTGTTATTGGGAATGAGGGCAGGTGCTGTCACAACACGGTTATTGGGAATGAGGGCAGGTGCTGTCACAACACGAGTCTGGATCCTCGGCCGCCCTACCCAGCGGCCCTTCCAGCAGAGGCCCAAAACGACGTCGTTTTGGGGCCTATTTTCCCAAAAAAAAAAAAAAACAGAACGAGGGTCTGCTGGGTTCATCCATATATATATATCTTTATATCTATAGATGGAGAAAAAGAAGAAGAAGAGAAGAAGAGGAAGAAGGTCTGCTGGGTGCCTCTGTTTTGCATCGCCGATCGGAGCTGGATTTGATTGTTGATGAAGCTGATGATGATGTTGAAGATGATGACGATGTTCAAAATCTGAAGATGAAGGAAAAAAATGTTGATGATGTTGATTTGGATTGAAGATGATGGTGATCTGGATCTGCAAAATTTTGATGTTGATGAACAAATTTTTAATACATATATATATATATATATATAGAAGATCGAAGGTGATGGAAAGAGAAGGAAGCCGATCGCCTCTGTTTTGCATCGCCGATCGGAGCTGGATTTGATTGTTGATGAAGATGATGAAGCTGATGATGATGTTGAAGATGATGATGATGTTCAAAATCTGAAGATGAAGGAAAAAAATGTTGATGATGTTGGTCTGGATTGAAGATGATGGTGATCTGGATCTGCAAAATTTTGATGTTGATGAACAAATTTTTTTTTTTTTTTTTGTTGATGTTGATGAACCCAGCAGACCCTTGTTGATGTTGATGAACAAATTTTTTTATTTTTTTTGTTGATGATGAACCCAGCAGACTTCCTTCTCTTCCATCACCTTCGACCCAGAATAATCATCATCATCAAACCCAGAATAATTTCTCTGCTTCATCTTTTTTTTTACCCACCCAAAATTTCAAACCCAAGAACTAAAATCTTTTTTTGGAAAATTGGCCCCAAAACGACGTCGTTTTGGGGCGCTGCTGAAAGGGCCGCTGGGTAGGGCGGCCGAGGATCCGGACTCGTCACAACAGACGACATTGTTTAGCTATATATCATTTTTTTTTTCACATTGTGCAATTGATTTCATTTTCCCTTTTTGAAAATTCATTTTCAAACCAAAAAGCTAGCCCCTCCTCAAAAGTTAGTTGAAAAAAATAAAAAAAAAATCATATCTACTAAAAACTTGAATGAGTTTGATTAGTTGATAATAAAAAAAAATAGAAAAAAGTAAAAATTTGTATGAAAATTGAGTTATACAATATTTTTTATATGTCTCAAAATCTCTTTTCTGTAAAAACAAATTTTAGACACTACAACAAAAACAAGCTACGACAACGTTTTTTTTATGGCATTTTTATTAAAACGCCATCATTGATCAATTAAAAATTAAAAACTACAGTGCTGTGTTAATTAAATTTCAAAACAGTGCTGTTGTGGGTGCATATCTGACGCCGTTACATATCTTATCTCACTCTTGCTCGAATTCACTCTCACTCTCACTCTCACCCTCGCTCGAAGTCTCTCTCAGTCTCAGTCTCACTTTCGCTCTCGCTCAAATTCTCTCTCACTCTCGGTCTCATTCTCACTCTTTGTACTCATCTCTTCATCAGATCTATGATGTTTGTCGAAGATTTGAAGGTTGATTCTTGAAGATTCGAAGGTTGATTCTCCAGATTTGCAGTTGTCTCTCAGTCTCGCTCTCGCTCTCACTCTCATTCTCTGTCTTAGTCTCACTGTCGCTCTTGCTCGAATTCTTTCTCTCTTAGTCTCACTCTCACTCTCTGTACTCATCTCTTCATCAGATCTATGAAGTTTGTCGAAGATTTGAAGGTTGATTCTCCAGATTTGCAGTTTCTCTTACTCTCGCTCTTGCTCGAATTCTCTCTGTCGTAGTCTCACTCTCGCTCTTGCTCGAATTCTCTCTCTCACTCTCTGTACTCATCTCTTCATTAGATTCGAAGGTTGATTCTCCAGATTTGCAGTTGTCTCTTTCGATTTTGTGAGTTTCTATTTGTTTTGGCTTTTTATTTTTAATAGATTTTTTACATTCTAACTCAGATCTGGCTTCTCGCTTCTGATTTTCTGTTTTTATTAGATCTCATCGTTCATCAATTGGTCGATTAATCTACATGAAACCTATTTGAGATTTGGCTTCTCAAATCTATAAGTTTTTATTAGATCTCTCTCTCTCTCTCTTTTCTTTGTGTATACAGTTATATATATATATATATATATATATATGCTGTTAGAATTGCAATATTACTTGGGATTTGCTCTTTATTTTCAATCATAAAAAGAAGGGAGCTATTTGAATCTGTATTGTAAAAACTAATGGCAGAGTGGAAAATTTGAGACTTTAGTTTAGAATTTAATTTTGAATATAGATTTGAGAATTTCTTGATTTGGTAAATATTGGAGTAAAATTCAATTTGGTGTAAATTTATGTCAAGGAGTTTAGGGTGTTCTGAGTGGGGTTTTTTTTTTTTTAAAAAAAATTTCAAATTATTATTCAAGTTTATTTTATTTTAGTTTATTTTTGGTTTCAAAGGAATCGGAAGTGATTGAAATTTTTCTAATTGGAATGGTGTTGGGTTCATCATTGATTTGAAATATATGAATAATATGCTCTGGCTTCATCATTGTTGCCACTCCGATTGTTAAGGACAATCTTTGATACTTTAATTCTGAATAATTTGAGTGCTATCTTTCTCTTTATTCTCCATATGGGAGTTCTTCTTAGTGGGGAGAATTGATGAAGATCGATAAGGCAACAATAATTGGGAGTTTAAGTTATTTAGGAGTTTAAATCTGTTCATGAGTTATTTTGAGTATATCTATTTATTTTTATTCGTTAGCCTTATATATACATAGTGTTGGTGCATGAATTTTATTAGATTGTGGCATAATTGAAGCTTAAAGCTTAAGTGGAACCTACTTTTATGTTGCTGCCAAGAGAATTGCATGTGTCAGAGCGAGTTTGTAAACCAAGGATTGTTTCAATCCTCTTACAGCATAGTTTCGAAACCAAGAATTATTTTTTGATGATTGCAGTTGGCATTGTGATGATATATCTGTCATGCTAGATGTTAATGGACTATTTTATTCTTTAAGTTCTTTAAGTATAAGATTCAATTACGGACAGATGAGCCATCAGTGGTGGCTTCAAAAAATTTGGTTAGGGTATTCAAAAACTTGAACTTAAATTAGAATTTGTATAAAAAGAATACACTTATCAGTGGTTATTTCCCACTACTGATAAATCTTCCAATTTGAACTTCTCAAATCACAAGCAAAATACTATTGAATAAATTATTTTCAATGTAAGTAACTAAACAATCTTCCAATTCGAGTTTATGTTTGGTTTCTATAATATTAGGCTTTTTCTTTTTTGTTTGAGGATTGTTTTTTGATCTTGAATATTACTCAAGTGGAATGTGAGTTGGGTGTGCAAAAATTGGAATCAACAAATTAGGTGTTCAAGATCTAAGAATTGGGTATTCAAAATCTTGATTCATTACTGATAAACATATATGAAACCTCAAAAAAAAAAAAAAAAAAAAAAAACAGGGCTATTGAATACCCTTGAGTGTACATGCTCTGCCTCCCATGCGAGCCATGGATGGATTTGTATCATTACTAGTGATTATTGGATATTGATCATGCTTTAACAGTCGTTTTCATTCTATGAATTTGATCACTCTTTTGGTTGTGTTTATTGTTAATTTAGTCCATGAGGATGATGCAGATGCTACAGCGGACACCTCAAACCAGGAAATGAACAGTGCTGCACCTTTTCTCAAAAGTGAAGCCTCCAGTTCCTCGTTGCTCCCTGAAAATAGACAGTTCAATCTTGAAGTCTCATCTTTAAATATTCCAGTTGATCAAATGAAAATGATTCAAAACATTAACACATTAATTTCCGAGGTAGCATGTGTTCCATCTTTATATAGATTTCAGTTCACTTGTTTCTTCCAGGATGAACCTTTTTTATTTCATTTTTTTAAGGTTCTGATATCTATATTTTTCCCTTTTTCATATTTGATATTTTTAATTTCCTGGTGAAATAATTGAAGTAATATTATTGAGTATACTTTTAGAATTATCGAGTTCTGGACTTTGTGTTTGCAGTTAGCATTGGAGAAGGAAGAGTTGATGCAAGCATTGCTTGCTGAATCATCTGAAAGTTTCACGCTGAAGGTAATGTTGGTCTTAATATATAAACGGAGTGTCTCTGGTTCAACTGTGGCAGTATTGAAATGTTAGAACCGATTTGGGTTAAGGATGGTGGTATTGAAATGTTAATAGTCTGTGGGTGTTTGTTTTATGTTGATTGTAGGAACACCTTGTTGCATATTATTCTGAGGACCAGGATCCACCATTAAATAAGCCTCACTAAAAGACCAATATTATTAAAACTGAGATACTTCAGTGAAGGTTTACAACCCTTGATATAAAATAATAATCCTATTCCTAACAAGACATAGAATAATGAACAAAAGTACCAACAATTGCAAATTTCTATTAGATTCAAACTGAGATACTATAAAGTATAAGAAAAGTGTCAAAAAAAAAAAAAAAGAAAACTCCTAAATTAAGTCATAACTAAATTAAAACTTTCTAGAAAGGGGAACAAATGTGAATTTGGGAGCCAAAATGAGAGACTTTGGTGGCTTAGGTCACGGTGAAGCAGTGAATTTTTGTTGTTGGGCGGTTTCAGATCGAACATGGGTGGTTCTGGCCCAAATTTGTAACTTTGACTGGATGCCTAAACTAACTGACACCGCATGTTCTACATCATATTTAGAATCAAAAGACATGGTGTAACATTTCACTTAATGTAATTTATAGTTATGAAATACATTGTTGAAATATGTGATTTCATTATTTTTGGGGTTAACATACAGTAAGATTTTAAGCTGGAGATTTCTGTGCATTTGATTAATCAATGTGATGCAGTGAAATGAAATCTTAGATGTCAATATTGGTGCTAATCGGCATACACTTGCAAATTCTGAACACCTTGGAGACAAGCCGACAACTTCGGTGGAAGTTTGGGTTGATGTGACCAGTTGTGAGAAGCAGCTTTTGGAACTGCTTGATGTAGTGAATTGCTATTTAGAGTATTGTGTATTGTTGTTAGATTTGCTACTAGTTGTTAATTTGTATTGATGCTTAAAGCTGTTAATTTGTATTGATGCTTAAAGCTGTTAATTTTTATTGGTGCTTTGGATTGAATAGTATGTCATTTTTGCTTCATTGGTATGTGTTGTTGCAAAAGCAACTGATGGGAACTGAGTTGGTTTGTTTTTTCAGTTTTATATGATAACACACACCAAAAAAAAAATAAAAAAAATAAAAAAATGGCGTTTTTGGTAAAAACGCCACTAAATGACATCATTATGACGTCATCTGTTACTAACGGAAGTTCCAAGAATGTCAAAGATTTTGTGGCGTTTTCAAAAACGCCGTCTAATATTTTTAGTGACGTTTTTCAAACGTTGCAAAGCTATTGCGGTGGCCGTATTAGCGACGAAAATATTAAACGTTGCTGTAACATTTGGTGGCGTTTTTTAGGCTTTTGGAGGCGTTTTTCAAACGCCGCTAAAACTCTAATTTCCTGTAGAAGTAAATCAATATTAAAACTGAAACATTTGAAACAAATAACAATTCAATTATACATGTAGCAACCATATATATATATATATTTGATAGTTACATGTATTTTTTCTGTATTATATGATTGCTACATGTTGTATAAGTTAATTGTTATTTGTTTCAAGTGGTTTAATTTGAACATTTCTAAAAATTGTCTTTTTTAATAGAAAAGTGATTTGAAGCAGATAAAAATATTGTAGAACTCAATTTCTATACAAATTTTAACCTTTTTTATTTTCAATTAATCCAACTCATTCAATTTTAGATAAATTACAACTACACTCCTGAGATTCACTTAAATTACGGATTACCCTTTGTGATTTTAGAATTTACAATTACCTATTTATCATATATTTTTATTTAACATAATTAATAAAAAATAAAATAAAATCTCTAACTACTTTCATATACAATAATAAAATTATATAAATTATTAATTAAAATATATTCTTAACATTGTTAAAATTGTTAATTACTTGATGATTTATTAATAAAATTAGTCAATTGTTATGCGATTAAAAACTTGAAAGGGTGAGATATAATTTTTAAAATTACAAGAGACAATCTGTATTTTAATTAAATTTCAGTGAATGTATTCATAATTTATCTGTCAATTTTTAAGTAAATGTGAATTACTTTATTTATTTATTTAACTTTTGCGGAGAGCCTCACATCTTTGTTTGAAAATGAATTAAAAAAAAAAGTGAAATTGAAATCACATTGCACAAAGTTGAGAAAAAAAAGTAATCAAGCAAACGGTGTTGTTTGTTGTCACAACATAATGCTATGACAGCACCATACCCGAATTCCTGTTATTGCGCTCAAGTGAATTGCTGAAGAGCTGGGATTTTGGGCTTAATATTGGTTTAGTTTGGAATTTTTTAAAATAGTTTTTTAAGTTTTTAATTTATATTTTTTGCGTAAAATTTTAAATTGTTTTTTTTTACTTTTTTAGATTTATTTAAAACATATAAACTTAAAAAGTACAAAATTTATGAAAATTTTAAAAAGTTCACTAAATACAAATATATAAATAAAAATTTCGTACATTAAATTTTTTTTTTGTATGTATTGATTGTTTCTTTTAGATTTCTTCACAAATATTATATTTCATAGACTGTTTGGTCCTCTTTTTTTTCTTTGGTCTTTCTTAGTGTACTTTTTTCAAACGTAACAACATAACATTAAAAAAAAAAATTTCTTAGTGTACTTTTTCTGAACATAATATTCCAATCAATGTAATATACAAAAACTCTTTAGTGCATTTCTTCCAAACATAACAATTCAAAAATGTAACACTCCAATGTAATGCACCAAAAAATACAATTTTCCAAAACAAAAATAATTAATTGGTTCATAAAATTTTTTTAAGGACTAAATGGATTAACATTTCCCTATATGAAATTTATGAATAAATTTTCCTATTTTTTAAAATACATCTTAATTAAGTGTATCTAAAAAATATTGACTAAAATATAATAAAAATTCAATAAAAATAACAAAACACAAAAAAAATAAAAAACTCAAAAAGTATTGTTAAAAACTCAAAACCAAACAAAATTGTTCAGTGTGTCTTTTAGCTTTTGGTTATGTTTAACAATATATATATATATATATATGGGCGAATTACACAAACAGTCCTTAGAGTTTGGGATTTGTGATATTTTGGTTATCAACTTTTCAATTGTGATACATTTGATCTTGAATTTTGAATCTTGTTCTAAATAAGAACAATTAAAGATATTTCCTTTGCAAATTGTTTATTTCAAGGTAAAATCGTTATATAACTTATTTGTGTTGGTTAACTTGTATGTTGTTTGAAATGTAACGGAATTTTTAAAAATAAATAGTGTTGAAATTTTATTGGTTATAAAGTTCTGTTTGTTTGGTTTTCAGAATCTATTTTTAGAATTTATTTTTTTCTGAAAAACTAAAAATTAAAATTGGTGAAAAAAAATAATTAAAAACACATCATTTTTATATAATTTTATCTTTTAGAAAGGTAAAAATAATTTTTTAAAATAATATTTTTGATATTTATTTTTGTTAAGTTAGTTTCTATTTTTTCAAAATGCAAACTTGATGATAACTCTACTAACTTTGATGTTGTTTTTAAACTAATCCATTAAATTAAAAAATTCAAAACTAAAAATATTTCATATATTAAACATATCGATTATATATTAAAATCCTAATAACAATTCATTACATGATAATTGTAAAAAAATATATATTAACAATAAATACAACCATCTATTACATGATAACTATAAAAAATATCAACAAAAATAACCACTCATTACATGATTATCTTCCAAATACATACTAAAAATTAATTTGGTAAAAAAATTCAAAAATAATTTTTTAACATTTATTTTTGTCAAACTAATTTATATTTTATCAAATTAATGACTTTGCCCTTGAAATGGAGCAATAGTGTCTTCAATTATCTTTATTTAAAATGAGATTCAAAATTTAAGATCAAATATATCACAATTAAAATATGAGAAATGAAAATAACACAAATTCTAAACTATAAACACCGTTAATAAAATTTGGCTATATGTGTATTAAAATTTATTTAGTGGGCTTTGCCAAGTCACCAAGATTCTCGGCCTTTAGTACTCTGATATTTGGGCTATTTGACCCATTATTGAACAAAAGTTTCAAAATGGACTGGGCCGAAAGATTTGAACACTCTTAAAAGTGACGGCAGAACACTCACGCTTCGTGTATTTTGACAGAAAATATTTTCTTATATTTTTTACATTCTTAAAATTAATACATTAATGGTTGCGTTAGTGTTGGCGGTAAGGTGGAGATGAAAATGGAGGTGTTGGGGGTGGTGGTTGTAGTAGGGGAGCGGTGGCAGCTACTATAATGGAGTGATTTTGGTAGTGGTAGTAGTAATGATGTAGAGATAGTAGTGGCAATGATTGTGAGGGCAGTGGAGGTAGTGGCAGTGATGGTGGCGATGGTAGTTGTGGTCATGGTGGTAGTGGTGATAATGTGATGACACTGGTATAACTTTTGTTCAAAAAATATTTTTCACCTTTTAAAAGTGAAAAATATTTTTCGTCCAAATAGACTTATTTTTCATTGACTATGAAATTTTTTTCGTTGACTTTTATTTTCTATTGTGCCAATCGACTAAAAATATAAAAAAATATTTTCTATTTGAACAAATGGAGCGATAGAATCTTGGGCTTTATATTTGCTATGGCTCAATAGAGTGTTACTGAAATTTGATCTGGCAAGCTTATAATTCTTGTGCCAAAATCCCACACTAATACTACTTACGATATGTAATTTATTATTTGAACAAATATTTTTAATTTTAATTTTAATTTTTTGGCTCACGAGGCTATTTAGAGTTTCCTCCCCTCTATAAATATATTTTATTTTAATTTTTTTTTCTTAGGAGAAATTTAGCATTTTGCCGACTAATTCCTAAATACATGCAGTCTCCTTCTATATATTAAACTTATTGAGTCAAATTCTAGAGATAACCTCTTCTAATTCTTTTTGTCAAATGTAGAAGACTTCAATATCCAGCAAAGGTTCTACAATTAATTACATTTGACGAGCGCTTTTTCTCATATATCAGTCTTGAGACATCCATGTTAATGAACAGTGTGAATGTTGTGTACGTCAACAAATAGTGTGTGAATATTGTGTGCCTCACCAACATATACGATACTGTTCCGTTTGAAAATTGAATATTTTAATTTTTTATGAAGAAAAGTAAAAAAATAAAGAATAATGTGATAATTTATAATGATTTTTTGACTACGAACCCACATTCCCAAACAATATTTAGCTAAGAAGCCAATTTTCAATCTTCCTTAGAACAATCACATATACTTTCAATGTTTTCTTTACAATTCATAAGAAGAAAATACGGAAGAATTGAATAATGAGACTTCAATCCAAATATTCAAAACAACATTATAAAAGAAAGGGTAAATTACAAATACACTTTCTGAGAATTACTTAAAATACAGATTGTCTCATGTGGTTTGGAAAATTACAAATACCTCAATGTCAGAATCTTTATTTAATAGAATTAACTGAAAAAAATAAAATTTCTAACTCTTCTTGTATATAACAATAAAATTATCTGAATTATTAATTGAAATAAAATTTTAACATCATTAAAAACTTTTAATTAACTTGATAATTTATTAATAAAATGACTTATTTGTTATGAAATTAAAAATCTTAAGAGGCATATTGTAATTTCAAAAATTACAGAAAAAATTCATAATTTAAATAAACATCAGGAGATGTGTTTCTAATTTACCCTAAAAGAAAGTATTTTGAAAGTATAATGGATCAATATGCTAAATTCTCATACCAACTTATTGAATGATGGTCTCTATAAATTAATTATTTTCTCCAATGCTGACATACAAAATTGTCTATGGTTCACTGAAATGGGAACGCATTCAATGACTTAATATTTCATCAGCAGCACTGATTTAGTGCTCTAATTTTGAAGCACTAATGCCAATTTTAATGAGTTGGTAATGCAAGAAAAATAAATAAATAATAAACAAATGCCAAA